CAGCACGGCTTGAGTGGTACACGCTTCCGAAATGTTGAAGAAGTGCGAGAATGGGTGGACGAATGGATTGCTTCGAAACAAACATCGTTTTATCGAGATGGTATCGCCCAGTTGCCAGAAAGATGGCAAAAAGTTGTAGAAAGTGATGGAAAATACTTTCATTGAAATAATTTAAATAAATTTTTTACAATAAATGCTTTTTCTCAGTATTTTTTGGGCGGAAACTAAGTTAAAGTCCTAATAATTGCAAGTTCTGATGTCAACTTACCGGAAGTAGAAGCTTAAGCAACAATATTATCTGTTTTGCATAAATCTTTTTCAACATTTGGCCCGAATTTGTCATTTTTTTCTTGCAAAATTATGAACAAAGGAGACATTAAATGACCGTTTGCAGATATAATAGACTGTATCGTATAACTAAAAGTTAGGGAATTTAGAGATTGTGCTAAAGTTTCAACATTTATTGTTTCTTTGAAGGATAACGAACGTCCTGCATGTAGAAGTGAGAGCATTAAAAAGTTATAAACTGACCGCAAAACTGAAAGTGGCCCAGAATGAAAAAATATGATCTAAATATTATTTGTACTTCTACATTTGTGCCAAATTTGAAAGAAATCGGAATGTACTTTTTGGGTAAATTTACTTATTAGTTTCTTTAAATGAAAACCCCCACTTCTGATTGCAGAAATGAAAAGAGCAGGAAATTCTGCGTTCAGCTATCTATTACGTTATAGGGTCAAATTTACTCCTAGGGTTCATTTCAAGATCAAATAAGTTACCACTGCAATAACTACTCAAGAAAGCACTTACAAAAAATGTTTTAGAAAAAAGTTGTAGGGTTTAGAGAGGCACACTTTAACCCCTATTTTTTAACATAACAAATGGAAGGAGTGGAAAATTACATCCGTATGCAATCCAAGAGACTCTTAGGGATTCCCATTAAAAAAAAATGAATTTTACCTGGAAATGAGTTTGTAATTTGACCCCAAGGTGACGATCAAGGTCACCATCGAGTGTGCCCTTCTGAACCCTACAACTTTTGTTTAAAATATTTTTTTCTTAAATGCTTTCCTGAAGAGATATTCTATAATAGTAGAAACTTTAAAATAGGACACTCTGTATATCTAAATCATTTTAACAGGTTTTACCATCAATTTTACTATCAGAAATATTTAATCTCTTTTCCCCGTCGTTCTATCTAAGGACATAACAATTGCACAATTTTTGTAACTCTGTATACGTAGTCTAATTAGGATATTTCATTTATGTTCATCCTATTTGTTTATAGACGTATGGATATAAATTAGACTTAAAATATACGTCCATAAGACGCCCAATGTTATTTGGATGTGGAGTCTCTTAATATGCGTAATTTCCGAGATATTCTTTTATGTTTCAGGTTTACGGCAAAAGAAGAGAAAACTGGTGGAATAGGTAAATGTTCGTCGCGTAATGTTTCTTTGCACTTAAAATGTGGTAGTTTGCCATTTGTCCATCCTGATGGATCGAAAGTTGCTGCGAAATTGATGAAAAGGCGACGACGATATTATAGTTTGGAAATGCAAAGTAGCGGAGACCAATATATGATCAAGATAGAAGCTCCACCGGCAGGTGATTGGTACGCAATCGCTTTTCGATCCTGGACTGATCCCGATAGTGGAAAAATCAAACAGCAAGGTAGAAAATATAATTCATTAAATCTCCATAAGCATATAAGTTTAATATAAAAATGCATATTAAAGTTATATTATTACTGCTTAAATGTTATATGTGTGTTTTCATGAGATTAGAATACATTTTTTAAAATTCGTTATATTGCGCGTATTCATATATCGATGAATATATCGTACATATACTTAAAAAATAACATCCATAAAAATATTTATTTAAAAAAGAAAATTTCTTGTAACTTTTCAAAAATTTCTATCAAGAGAAAAAATCTATATTTTTTGGATTTGCATGAAATTGATGCATAATGAGAATAAGGAAAGCGAAAACCTAAACATATAATAGATAGAATTCGATTAGTAACAATAATTGTTTATTTGACGCCGACACAGTGTTGTTCACACCAAATAATCAAATCAGCCAAAGTTGCCCTTATAGAAATATCATACTAAGAATCATTGATAATTACTTATTTTCAGTATTAAAAATACTGGATAACAAGTAATTATCAATGATTCTTAGTATTACTATAAGGATGTTCAAAGCTAATTTTGTCGAATTTCTGATATAAAGAAGAATGTGAAAAAAATCCGATTTTTAATTCCCTCTGCGGAACCTCAGTGAACTATAAAAAGTGATTGTTTGGAACCCACATGAAATAGTGAAAACAGTTTTATAACTCAGAGATACGGGAAAAGTAGATTTTTTTTTTATATCATATCATGTCTTTTTTTGTAAGACGAATTTTCATACATCATGCTTGTGTTCGATTAAAGTTAACATAAATATTTAAAATATTTCATACAAAAATGAATGCGCTATCTTTTAAGATCTTCTATTTCGCATTGCTAAAATAGGATTAAAGAAAATTTCAAATTGAAAAGAATTCCGAAAGAATAGTGGATACTAGACATTAATTTTTTTGTATAAAATATTTTAAATATATAACTTTAATGGGACACAAACATTTTGGATTGGCCATTTTGAATTCGCTATCATTAATTTTTTAATTTAATTAGTGGGTTTGAAATCAACGTGTCTTAAAGACCCAGTGAGAAATGACTTACCGATAGACGTCGAAAAGACGTTGAATCGACATCGATTTGACGATTTCGACGTCGATTCGACGTCTTTTCGACGTCGATCGGTAAGTTATTTCTCATTGGGGAGCATTCTCAGATTCACTTTGATAAAAAATTCGATTACTGTAACCCTACATACAAAATTGCATGTCAAAGATGCCATTTTGGATCCCCTATTTCCATAATTTGCCATTTTTAGTAACAGATTCGTGATCACCCTAATGGAAAAATTTTGCTGAAATTATAATGAAACTTGCTGAAAACGTAATGAAGTGTGCTGAAATTTTGCTGAAAAACTCAATTAATCGATCTACGTTCATTATGATTTCAGCAATATTCGTCGAAAATCAGCAAAATCATCGTAAATTTCAGCAATATTCATTGAAAATCAGCGAAATTTTAGTGAATTTCAATAAATTTCAATCAAATTCAGTAGAAAATCATTGAAATTTAAAATCAAGAAAAATGTCCCATACTGCATAGTAATGTTGAATTAATTTTCTTCATGTCTCATATAACTGTTAGGAACCGAAGATTGTCAAACACACTCTAAAATTTTCGTTACCTTCCTCGATAATTTCGAATCCGAAGCGGTTATACCCGGTCACTCATCCATGCTTCACTAAAGGTGTGCTTAACCTAATGTCGCGCGGTACACGGTGATGCCAATCCCAGATAGCAAGGTGACGTCTAAAGACGTCATTAAGACATCATAGACGTCTAAATGATGTCTTTTGACGTCTAAATGATGTCTTTTGACGTCACTTTGCTACCTGGGATTGGCATTTGACTCCAACGATGTTCTTACAGTTTCTGCTTATATAATGTGTACTTATAGTGTTCACAATATATTGTAACGTACCTAGCAAATACGCGCGTTGATTCGCCAATATATTTTATTTAATATCTCTAAAGTTTATATGGTTATTTGCAAAATGACTTCGACCATTTTTTCAGTTTAATGTTTTTTATGTATTTTTTTGTTATTGATATAGCTTGCATCAGACTCTGTATAATAAAGAATATTTTGAAATAAAAGAATATTCTTCATGGTTTGCGCAAAATTGCTTAAACGCATTTCAATTTTATATATACTAGAACACCACATAGCGCGCGCTTCGCGCGCACCACTTTAGCCTTTTCGTTGTACTATTTACAATTTATATTACAATACTCGTTTTTACAAATTATATTCCCAGCAAACACAATGTTACATATAACATTCATGTTAGTTGTAATTTCCTATTTAACAATGTAACTGTTATATAACACGTATATTATATAACAGTTATATTGTTTGAGTAAGAAATTACAACTAACATGTATGTTATATGTAACATTGTGTTTGTTGGGATTACAATAAATATCAAATTTATATGACGCGAACAACACAACCTGATCTGTTACCGCGGCTGACAGCTGCAAGCGGCACGAATTCAACTGCGACGGGATCGAGACAATCGAGACGGTCGAGATAGCCAATTAGCGTCGCGGAAAAGAGGCTTCACCCACTTCGATACATTCGAGATTTAGTTAACACGCACTTTTTCTGATAGGAAACGATAAGAAAAATATATATGATTATGGTATATTGTAATATAATATGAATAATATATATGTATTAATATAATAAAATTTAATAATAATTTATTTTATTATTATTATTATTTTTGTATATCAATAATATAATTTTCAATGTTCCTCAAATATAATTACAACATTGCAAAATATTGTAGTTTTTGTTTAATATATATTCAACATTGCAACATTTTTCATCAATATTGCAGCAAAGTTTCAATACAATTTACTCAGTTTTTATTACAATTCAGTCAATTTCATTAAATATTTCATTAAATATTTCAATATTTTTTCATTACTTTTCATCAATATTCATTAAAAATTCATTGTTTTTCCACACTTTTCACTACAATTCATAATGAAAATCATGATTTATGATGAAATATTTTTAGTAACTTTTCAGTAACATTTATTTTTCATTTCGACGATTTGTATTTTCAACGATTTCATTGCATTTTCAGCAAACTTTTTCCATCAAGGCAGTGATCCTTAAAACCTTTAAGTACCAGTTATATGATAAGAATGAGGCGCAGTACACAAAACAGAGCCAACATTCAGTTAATCTCACTTTATTTCTGCAACAGCCGCTACAAAAATAGAAAATAACTTGCGCGCAGATTACACAGGCTAGTGCAGCCAACTTCTAGTAATCAAAAAGAAGATATCCAATAGAACCGAGAACCATATTTTCATGAGAGTCGTCGCAACAAAATTAATTTCTGTGTTCGTCGAATCTGAATTATAAATCTACTTAATATAAACAATGTTTGATTAATCAATACATTTGCCTAACATAACATGAGGAACTTTTGCAATATATTTGATTCATGATAGGTTCTAGCATAATATACGAAAATTCGACTTCTACAAAAGACATGATATAATATAAAAAAAAATCTATTTTCTCCGCATTTTTGGGATATAAAACTGTTTTCACTATTTTATGTGAGTCCCAAACAACAATTTTTTATAGTTCACTAATGTTTTGCAGGGGGATAAAAAATCGGACTTTTTTAACATCCTTCTTTTATCGGTAAAGTCGTGACAGAATTTGTACAGAAATTGTTATATAGAATGATATTATTAGAATGCTTCCAGGAACTGTTGATAGTACGAAGATAGTTTGACGAAAGAAATATAGTTAATCTTTACCATAATCTGATAACAGATAAGGAATGAAAACTGAGCACATTATGTGAATATTATCTGTTGACGGATATACAGGGTGTCTCAGAACAACCTTCGAAGCTTTCGTGGAGGCATAGTACAGATTGAAATAAATATAAAAATACTATATTGTTTTGTGATATTTGCAATAATTATCGAGATATTACTTAAAAAAGATTTGTGAATGATCATGCGAAGATATGATAAAGATGATCTGTATCTTTATGAAAAAAACCTCCAAATTTTGAAGGTTAATCCTCAAATTTGTGGGTTGACCACTAAATTTGAAGGTTGTAACGATGCACACCTGCATCGTCACTACTCCGGCCCGACCGACCATCAGTCGGGCCGTGCACCGGCGCGTTGCGCCAACAATAAACGCCGCAAGGCCGACAAACAAAACACGATAACGAGTATAAACAAAGCGAGCAAAGATCACGCGAGAAATCGGGCACAGCGGAAACAATAGCGAGCGAGCGCCGCGAGCACGCGACGCGCACGTGTACGGCGAGCAGACAAAGAAGCGTCAAGTATATAATCCGCGACGCCGAATTAATCAGGACCAGACCGATCCGGACCGTCAACCGAACTCGATGCTACACAGCGGAGAGCAAGGCCTACGACCGACTCGTATCTGCTTCCTAAACCTGCCAACGATCACATCCTCGCAGACTAGGACCGAAGCCAGTACGTTAGCTGTGCTCTGCCGATCTTTATCGACTCTAGTTTGCATCCCGTCGACATCCCGAACAAGGACCGAAGCCAGTAAGCTAGCTGCGCTCTGTCGAGCTTTCTCGACCCTTGTTC